AACATAGTACACCAAGTATTTCTGGCTCCCACAATAGTCAGTAATTGTTCTTTAGGGAATCAGTAGTAATCCAAGCGCAGTGCATGGGAAAGGGGTAAAAAAGCAACCAATTCGGCTTCCAGCTGGAGCAAGTCCAGGGCCCTACAGCACAAGGGAATGAGCTATTGTACTGCTTGGCTCAGAATTATTGCCTGATGGTGAACTTTAAAGTTGGGAAATCTAACCCCCCCTGTTTTGATAGGGAGCTGTAATCTTTTTAAGGAGATTCTGGGTTTGTTACCAGCACCCCACAAGAAGGAACTGAACATGTTGATTTTGGTGGTAAAATAAAAGGGAGAAATATGGAGGGAGGGAATTGACAATGAAAAGGACCTTGGGAAGAGCATTAATTTTTTTTATTTGTTTCCCCAAAGGGAGATGGGTAGTGCCTGCCATCTATTTAAATTGTTTGCTAATTAATTGGGGCTAATTAATGAGGCTAGGTTAATCTTGACTATGTTTTTAATTTCCTTGGGGAACAGGATGCCAAGATATCTGAGGTTTGTCTGTTGCCATCTAATGTGGGGCAGAATAAAAAGTAAAACCCTTCATTGGAGGGTTCTGCAACTGCCATGCATTTTTTAATCCCAATTTGTCCATATAGTCTCTTATAATGTTTCCAGAATGCAATTGTGTATGCTTGGGCCAACCTGACTTGTCTTTTTTTTTTTTTTTTAAAAGGACCAACACATTATTAAAATCTCCTGCTATGATGACTGAGCCTAATGGGATATTAATTAATTTGGTGAAAAAATTAAAAACTTGGATTATCTTTACTAGGTCTATATGTATTTATTAGAGTGTATATACAGAGTCAAAGATCTTAGCCTTCACTAGCAAAAATCTACCTTCCTCATCTTTATTTACATCTAGAATGTGTAAATTGAGTCTCTTGTGAAATAATATTGCTCCAATTTTGGCTGAGGAGGAGAAATTGTTAAAACACTTCTTTCCCCATCCATTACCTTCTAAATTTCTCTGCCTCCAGGTCATTATGGTGGGTTTCCTGTAGGAAGAGGGTAAGGTAGACCAGGAAATGTAAAAGACAGTATAATGTGAGAAAACGGTAGAAAAAGAAATGAAGTGATCAAACTGACCAAAGATCACTTAAAATACATAACTCTTATCCAAATGGAAATAGAACCTAAGTCAAGGAGGCTTACAAGGGGATGACCTGATCACTTACTCCCCCCATTTCCCCAAAACACCCAGGTGGAGGTATAGCTGGATTCCCTTTAGCGTGATAAACAAGAAATAGTTTCATAACAAGGGAGGGCATGGTTTCTTCACTATTCATAACAACATAAAAAAAAGTGGTGGTGGTGGAGGAAGCCAGTATCTAAATTTAAGATCAAGACTATAATAGAAATACAATAAAGTTATGCAAATTGTTTGATAGAATAAAGTTATTTAATTGGATCAGGGTTGCAGATAAGAGTTTATTAGAAGAACAGTTCTTCCTAAATTTTGTCACCTAGAGCCTTGTCCATGCTGGATTATAGTCTGAATGCTATTGCCCAATAGCTATATCAGCAATATAAATTAACACAACACTTCTTACAACTCATTTAACAAAAATAAAAACTAAAAAACCACCTTGGACTAATACTATTGGAAAAAACTGACCGATTAATACTAACACATTCTGAGTAATTTGGTGAATCATAACCTGTGATATAAAAATTATTCTTGGATAGGATTTTAGGAAATCAGATTTCTTCAAATTTGGGGAATTGAAAAGATTAATCATTAAACTGAAATCTTCATTACATTGTTTACATTGTGGTATCTCTTATAAGTGTACATTTAAGGCAAATGGATGAATATTTTCAGATTTACTATAAACCCAGAATCTAGGCAATTAGATGGGGGAAATTAAGTAAAATCATCAATGGGGAAGGGAAGAATTTAAAAAAAAAAAAAAAAAGGATTGGTTGGAAAAGGTACTGGGAGAGAGTGGCTCAGACAGAACAGAATTGTACTACTTTGTTGAACCTTGCCAATCCGCTGATGTGAAGAGTCCCAGGTCCAGTGAAGCAATTTGTTTGGAGTTAGGAACTCAAAGGTGGGTGCTCTCCTGGATTCATGAGGGCTGGGGTGGGGAAGGTACAGTCAAATCAGGAGTACTGATATTGTAACACTCCTGAGTGCTTAGTACCAGCAGCCAGAACCCATAGTTGCTTCTTGAGTCTGGATGGATGTTGAGGAGGGTCCAAACTCGAGCAGAATTGAGATCCTTCTCCCCATCCACCACCCTCTGTTTCATATTGCTATAAAAAAAACCTGCCAGGCTTAGTCTGAGGTGCTGTCACTGCTAAGGGAGGAATTTAGGTGGCAAGATCTTGGAGAGTGATATCCATAGGCTCCAGAGCAGTATACTTACCTTTAAAATAGGTATGATTATATGTGTAATTATATCCATGGTTGAACCTACCCTTGAGTATTTTGCCAAACCTGTTGGAATCCTAGAAATGTAGGGCTGGAATGGACTTTGAGCGGTCATCTAGTCCATCTCCCCTCACTGAGGCATGACCAGGTATACCTGTTGGGTATTTGTCTAACCAATTCTTAAAGACCTCCAACGATAGTGATTCCATAATCTGCCTTGATAACTTTATAGTTAGTTTTTTCTGACATCTAACGTAAATCTCCCTTGCTGTAGATTAAGCCCATTATTTCTTGTCAGACCTTCAACGAACATGGAGAACAGTTGGTTGCTGTCCTCTTTTTGTAAAAGCCCCAAATGTATTTGAAGACTGTTATCTGGTCCACCACAGTCTTTTTTTCTCAAGACTGAAGATATCTATTTTCTTTAACCTTTCCACATAGGTCAGGTTTTCTAAACCTTTTATTTGTTGTTCTCCTCAGGACTCTGTCCAATTTGTCCACATCTTTCTTAAAGCGTGACACCCAAACTTGTCCACAGTACACCAGCGAGGCTATTGTTTATCATCCTGTTATCCTCTAGGTGCTTACAGACTGATTGTTTAATTTGTCCCAGTATTTTTCCAGGTATCAAAGGTAGGCTGACTAGTCTATAATTCCCTGGATCCTCTTTGTTTCCTCTTTTAATGATAGGTTCTGTGTGTGACCTTCTCAGAGACCAACCCGTCCTCCTTGAGATCTCGAAGATAATCACTAGTGATTCCAAAATTGCTTCAGCTAATTCCTTCCGTATTCTAGGGGGAATTTCATCAGGCCCTGCTGGCTTGAATACATCTAGCTTATCTAAATATTCTTTAACCTGTTCTTTTGCTGTTTTGGCTTGTGTTCCTTCCACCTTATTGTTGTTATTAATGGTGTTAAGTATCTGGTCATAACTGATTTTTTTAGTGAAGAATGAAGCAAAATAGGTATTATACACCTCAGCCTTCATGGTGGTGTTCCTTATTAGCATTTTTCCCCTACTAAGTAGTGGACCTCTATTTTCCTTTGTCCTTCTCTTGCTCCTAATGTACTTGTAGAACCTCTTCTTACTACCGTATGTCCCTTGCTAGGTGTAATTTGTTTTGTGTCTTAGCCTTTCTTATGTTATCCTTACTATGTTTCCACTATTCTTTTATACTCATCTTTAGCAATTTGTCTGTATTTTCACTTTTTGTAGGATTCCTTTTTGATTTTCAGGTCATTAAAGAGCTCTTGGTGCAGCCATATTGTCCTATTACTATTCTTCCTATCTTTCCTTCACAGTGGAATAGTTTTCTGCTGTGTTTTTAATATTGTCTCTCTGAGAAACTGCCAGCTGCCTTGAGCTCCTTTTTCCCTTAGGCTTTCTTCTCATGGGTCCCTACCTACCAGGTCTCTGAGTTTGTTAATCTGTTAGTTTTTTGAAGCCCACTGTGCTTATTCTGCTGCTTTCCTTCTTTTCCTTAGAATTATGTAATCTATCATTTCATGATCACTTTCAGCAAATTGCCTTCAACCTTCAGATTCACAAGTTCTTCCTCCCTGTTAGTTAGAATCAAGTTTAAGATGGCTGCCATTGGTTATTTCCTCCATCTGAAACAAGAAGTTGTCCCCAACACATTTTGGAACTTAATGGACATTTTGTGTTTTGCTATTTTACTTATCCAACAGATATTTGGGTACTTAAAGTTCCCCATTACTACCAGGATTTTGTATTTTGGATATACTGCATACTTATTTGCATCTTTTATTAGTTTTTAGCTGTATAGTTTAGTAACTTATAGTTGGAATGTTTGTTCTCTTTTTTTTTTGTCTTTTCTTCTTGGCAAGTGGCTGCATCCATTCCCCTCAGAGGGAAACACATTTGCAAATTTTATTAGCTTCACATTGGCAGTGAAATAGGGAGTTTAAATTTCTCACACATTTAAGTTATTTGTACTATTATGAACCTTATTCAGAGTAAAAAAATGGAAATTTTTGTAACTCTAAAGAGGTGGTGTTTAAGTCTAGAAATGTCTTAACTAGGGTTAACTTTCCGGTGAGAAATTAAATGGATACACTGAAGAACACAAAGTTTGTGTACATAAACTGTAAGGGTATGGTCACACTGACTTAATTTTGCATTTGGCTTTTCCTATGTACTAAAGAGCTACTTATAATATACTTTCGTATAGTTCAATTCATCTTCAGATGCTTTTGCTAATATTGTTCATTTAAACAAGGGGGGAAAGAAAGTACATCATATTATATTTGATAACCCTAACAGAGTTGTTAGTAATGAATTTTCATTCTTCTAGGCTTCGATCTTTTGTAGTAAGAATTCTAATTTTTTTCATTTACTATAGTATTCTTTTTTTTCGTATGGATTCACCAAATTCAGCTTTTCATGGTAGAAAAACTGAAATAGAGACAATATTGAAGGTAGGCAAGATTAGCTGGTCACTGTTTTGTTTTTTTTTGTTGTTTTTTAAAGACTGATTAAACACACTAAAATTTCAATAGAATGTCATTTAAATTTTCTTTGAAAGTTAGGAAAAATGATACTTGTTTTACAGGAAAAGTTATCAAAGTCTGGACCAACTCTCTGCGGAAGTTAGTCTTTCTCAGACATCTCTGGACCCAGGTAATTCACAAGATGGAGATGGAAAGCAAGATGGATTAAATTTACTAAGTGAAGGTAAAATACTGCCTAAAAGTTACACTTTGTTCAGGTCCTTGTTAATACTTTTTAATAAATACTTTCAAGTACTCTTCAATTTCAGCAATCAAGGCATCTTGCTTTTCTTCTAGGGAACAAACTTTCAACCTGATATGTGCAAGGAAATAAAATGTACCTTTTCAAAGTTAATGTGTTTCAGAGTAACAGCCGTGTTAGTCTGTATTCGCAAAAAGAAAAGGAGTACTTGTGGCACCTTAGAGACTAACCAATTTATTTGAGCATGAGCTTTCGTGAGCTACAGCTCACTTCATCGGATGCATACCGTGGAAACTGCAGCAGACTTTATATACACACAGAGAATATGAAACAATACCTCCTCCCACCCCACTGTCCTGCTGGTAATAGCTTATCTAAAGTGATCATCAAGTTGGGCCATTTCCAGCACAAATCCAGGTTTTCTCACCCTCCACCCCCCCACACACAAATTCACTCTCCTGCTGGTAATAGCCCATCCAAAGTGACAACTCTACACAATGTGCATGATAATCAAGTTGGGCCATTTCCTGCACAAATCCAGATTATCATGCACATTGTAGGGAGAGTGGTCACTTTGGATGAGCTATTACCAGCAGGATAGTGAGTTTGTGTGTGTGTTTTTTGGAGGGGGGTGAGGGGGTGAGAGAACCTGGATTTGTGCAGGAAATGGCCCAACTTGATGATCACTTTAGATAAGCTATTACCAGCAGGACAGTGGGGTGGGAGGAGGTATTGTTTCATATTCTCTGTGTGTATATAAAGTCTGCTGCAGTTTCCACGGTATGCATCCGATGAAGTGAGCTGTAGCTCACGAAAGCTCATGCTCAAATAAATTGGTTAGTCTCTAAGGTGCCACAAGTACTCTTTTTCTTTTTGCAAAGTTAATGTGTGTGACTCGACTGTTTTTCCCAAGCACCTTATTGAAAATACGTTTGCATGTATCAAGTCCCAATGATATGAGTAGTACATTATTTTGTGCTGTGTTTAAGGCAAGGCTTTATATTGACTTCAAACATTATTGTTACATTTCCCCCTTCACCATGTGGGATCTGGTGTCATTTTTCTGCTACAATTAACCTAAGGTTCCATGAGTCCAGTCATTGGGCTTTGCAGCTCCCTTTCAATGTTATTCTCCCACACTTTTTACTTTGTCTTTCCTACTGTCCAGTCTAATTTTATCGGGCATTCAGATGCTGCTTTTGTCTGTGATGCTGTAGGCTGCCATATGTTTTCCATTAAAATTAAGGGATAGCGAAATAAGATAGGCAACAGACAAAATCAGTGGCTAGCACTACACATCTATATCTTCAGTTTTCTTTCAGTTACCCTCTTGTGGCCAACTGTGAATAAGCAGGAAGGTGCAACAAGACATTTGAGACTCTAAATGTTTAATATGAGTTACTATAAAGAATTCCTCCCAATCCCTCAAACTTTAGTCACGTGCAGCCTGGGAAATAAAAATTATTTTTTTAAAAAAACATATCTTTAAAGGCTATGATCAAGTTATTTTTTCCCAGTTAAAAAACTGTCATCATGAACAGTGCCTTAAAATCTAAATCTGTTTTAAGACCCATTGCGCGCACTAGTTCACTTAAAGTAATTGCTAGTTCAGTGTTATGGTTAACATTGAGAAGATACACCCTGCGCTTGGTCCCTCTGTAATAGCAGTGTTGTTTCTTTTATTTTTGCCACATTTGACACCATTTTACGACTTCAAGTCCTTTCCACTGTAGGTGTGTGCATGCCTCGTGCACAGCTGTCAGAGAATTTTTTCCCTGAGCGGTACCTGTTTGGATTGCCCAACTGTCTTCTGTTGCCATATACCACTGCATGTTGGTATTCAAAGGCAGAGCCTCTCCGACTCCCCTCATTTACTTGTTACCGCAAGTGGTGGTGTGGAGTGATTGCAGACTTGTTGTGACAGGTGCTCCCCTCACTCCTTTGTGTACATATCCTGTTATTGTTAGTTAATTAGTTTAGTAGTAGTTTGTTTAGCTAGCTTTTAGGGCTAGGTTTTCGTTTTAGGTCTCTTGACCACTTTTAATCTTTTGGTACCAAAACAATGCCCTGCTCACTGAGGTTTAAGTTCTGCCAGACTTGCGCTAAACCTGTGCTGGTCAGCAATCCACACCCGGGCCAGATTATAATGTTTGGGAGAATCCCACATTCATTACATTTGTAAGGGATTCAAGCCCTGCTCAAAGAAAGACAGAGGTGAGGCTCGAGTGCTTACTTATTGAGGCAGCGCTTTGCCGTCCATCAGAATCATCTTACAGGAAAAGTACATCAACAGTACATCAACAGAGCACCCCACCAGAGATGTCTGTGGCACCTCGGTCCCATTGGCCGATACTGAAGAAAATGCTTATGCCTTCCTCAGGCTCAGTGAGTCAATACCAAAGCCACGCAGAGGCAGAGACTCTGCACAATGTTCAGGAGGAAGGCTCTCCCTGGGGCACTCATTGCTTAGGAATAGGGGACTGCTGCCTCCAGAACCTGTGCCAAGTCGAGGCCATCCAAGAACTTCGTGGAGCCCTCAGACAGTGCCGATCACTACCACTCAAGAGGCGTATGCAGCTGCAAGGGACTGACACAGATTCTTGGTACTGGTATCACCAGTATTACAAGAAGGACTACAGCCAGTATTGATGCCTGCAGGTTTTACCTCACCATGTCAAGAAACTGCAGAATTGTTACTGCCCAAGCTTCCGCAAAAGCCAGTGCAATAGACAGGCAAGCCTGTGGTGATATCCCCAGTACAACCCATGTCTGGGCTTCGACTACCTCTCACCAGCTCCAACTGGTTCTACCTCTCTGTTTCTGGAAGTTTCAGATTCTTCATCTTCGGTTTTGAAGATGAGGTGGTCTGTATGACATCCAAGACAAGGAACATACCCTCCATCACAGTCTTTGGGACCACAGGCCATGCAGCAACTCAACACTGAAATCCTTCTAACGGACGGTGCCCTGGGTAAGGATGGGGCCTTGGTCCATATCAGTGGCTCTTTTGGACACCCTGCCATGTCCCCCCTCCAGCTAGGACCTTTCCCCAATCATCTTGGTATCCTTGAGAGCGCTTCGGGGGCATTGGAACTGAGGACATCATACACCAGTACTCAGTGCTAAGATGGGTACCAATCAGCCAGAGATCACTGAGGCAGCTTCTCCTCTGCAAGACATAAATCACCTTAGAGCCACCTCTTAGTCCTCTTCACCAGATGAGGCGATTGAGCTAACAAATGATTCACCACCACAAGAGGACACCAGAGCTCAAGATCTTTTGAGAAGGGTGGTTTCTGTCTGATATTCAGGCAGAGGAGGTGTGTGCAGGCTCTCACTAGCTGGTGAACTAGTATCGATGTATCCAGTATTGATGGTTCTGCCAACTAACAAAGTCATTATAGAGCTTGTTAAGGCGCTTTGGCAGACACCTTCAGTGACACAGAATCATAGAATATAAGGGTTGGAAGGAACCTCAGGAGGTCAACTAGTCCAACCCCCTGCTCAAAGAAGGACCAATCCCAAACTAAATCATGCCATATAACCCAGGTTACAATTGGGACTGTTTGAACTGCTGTGCCCCCTTAATTCTCCAGTTCAGGGTGCGTTTTGCAGTGGTTTGCTGATGAACAAACCACCCCTGTCAGGCTCTGTTCACTCATAGCCCTTAGCATGCAGTCACATCCAGCTGAGTTGCATGAATGCTCTCCCACCACTGATGCACTACACACAAGACAACACTTGCCAGCTTTCTAGTCCGAGCCTTGTACCCCGAAATGTGTCTTGTATTGTGCAGTCCATTCACTGTACAGTATAAGCTCATATAACTCCGTTATTCCAACAAAGGGTAATAATTATCACCACCTTTGTTGTTCTAAGCAGTCTCCCACACACTTTAATCCAAACTCACTGCTTAAGATAAAACAGTAAAATGTTTATTAACTATAGAAAGAAGGATTTTAAGTCATCACAAGTAACGAGGCATAAAGGTCAAAATTAATTACAAAAGCAATAAAAAACAAACACAAGTCCTATTTCTAAACTTTACCAAGCTAATTCAGATTTGAAGTAAACAGATTTGGGACAACAAGCATCAGTGCTAAAAGGGAAAGATTCAAAGAGACTGGATCTGTTTGGTCGGAAACTTTGTTCCACAGGAAGTCTGCAACTCAGGATTGCAAACCAATAGGCGCTCCTGAGTCACTATGACTTCACTCTCTGGAAAAAATATTTTAAAATTTAAAGGCAATTCACCAAAGGACGGTAGGCAGGAGTTTGCAGTAACGGTAGATGAGGGTAAACTGGTTGCCAAAACTGCTCTCCAGGACAGTTGAGATAGCGCATGCAGGGCTGCTCAACCATGGCATCAGCTATTACTATGAGAAGATGTTCACGGTTGCAATCATCTGGGATACCCCCAGAGGTCTAGCAGACCATCCAGAACCTCTCTTTCGAAGGTGTCTCATTCTTTTCAGAGAAAATGGATGACCGGCTCTATAGCCTGAAAGATTCATGGGCCACATTAAAATTTCTTGGAATCTATACTCCAGCGATGAAAAGGAAACAATTTCATCCAGAGCAGCCATAAGGGCACCAAGTTTTTGCTCCCTGGTCCCACAATGCACCAAGGAGAAAGGGCAGGGGTTACAGAAGGCATCTTTCACTGCCCTCTTCTTCAGCATCAGCTAGCTCATCCCATCCAGCCGCTTTGTCCAAACAGGCATTTTAATGGGTTGGTTGAGGGCAGGGTACCAGTTACCATAGTTCCATGTGTTTCCCAGTCACTTATCCCACTTCCTAAGCAATTGGACCCACATAACATTAGATTGGTTCATCTTAAGCAGGGTGGAAAAATCACATCTGCAAAAATTGAGTCCATGTGTTTGTATACCTGGATGACTGGTTGATTAGAGGTCAGTCTGAGGCTCATGTGTTATCCAGTGTATCCACCGTCCTGTCCCTGTTTGATACACTGGGACTTCTGCTGAATCAGGACAAATCAATCCTAAAACCAGTACAGAGAACAGAGTTCATTGGGGTGCTCTTGGACTCCACAAAGGCCAAGACCTTTCTGCCACAATTCAGGTTTGAAACATTACTGCTGAGGCTGAAACATACCCATTCACTATGGCACACAGCTGCCTCAGTCTCCTGGGTCACATGGCAGCATGGTCCTACGTAGTTCAGCATTCCAGGCTGCATCTTGGAAAGTTGCAGGCATGCCTAGCTTCAGGGTGTGCCCTGAATCATCGTAATTTGGGCAAAGTGGTTCCAGGGCCAGTGTCGGTGTTGTCATTGTTGGTTTGGTAGTTGGACCCTCTGAAAGTGTGTGTAGGTCCCCTGTCTCTCTGCTACCAACCTCACTCTAGTCCCAGATGCATCATCCCTGGGTTGGGGAGCTCATATGAGGTCCCTGCAGACTCAGCATCTCTGGTCATCTCAAGATCAAAAGACTTATATAAAAGTCAGAGAGCTAAGATCAGTACATGTAGCTTGCTCAGCCTTCCTCCTCCTGATAGTGGGAAATAATTCAATTTTAACACACAACTCTGCAGTTATGTTTTACGTAAGCAGACGGAGAGCAGCACAATCCATTCAAGTGTGCCAAGAGGCAGTTGGCCTTTGGGACTTTCGCATAACCAACTTGATTCATCTCAGGGCTCCTTACCTTCCAGGAATACAGAACATGTTAGCTGATTAGCTGAGCAGATCCTTTCTTGAGTGGTCATTATGCCCAGATGTGGCTAGATCCATCTTCCAGCTCTCCTATTTTGGAAGGATTCCCTAATATACACCTTCCCTTCAATTCCTTTGCTACACAGGGTCATGTCCAAAGTGAAACAAGACCATGCTCATCTCATCCTTCTAGCACTGAAATGGTCTTGTTAACACTTGTACTCAACTCTACTAACCTTGCTAATTGAGCCTCAATTGTCTGTCCTGTTGGACCCAAACGTGATTTCCCAGGACCAGGGTCACTTGCTCTATTCCAGTCTCTGTTCCCTCCATCTGACAGCCTGGATGCTTAATAGATAACACCCTTTGAAAGATCCTTTTCAAAGACATTCACAAAGTGCTTCTGAATTGCAGAAAACCCTCAACTGGGAGCACTTACCCGGCTAAGTAGAAATGCTTCTTCATTTGGTCCTGTCAGAAAGCTGTATCTCCAGAGCGGACCTGGACCGCATACTGGACTGTCTTCTATATCTAAAACAGAGTTTGGCTATTAGCTCTATAAGGTTCCATCTGGCAGCTATTTTGGCCTTCCACAACTTGATGGATAGTAGATCCCTTTTTTCCAATCCCATCATCATCAGATTCCTAAAGGGCTTGGTCAGACTAAATCCACATATGCAAGATCCTGGGATCTGAACTTGGTCCTAATAAAATTGACAGGACTGCCCTTTAAATCCCTTGCAACTTGTGCTCTGCTTACCTCTATGTGAATGTAGCATCTCTAGCGGCCACCACCTTGGCCAGAAGAGTGGAAGAGTTGAAAGCCCTAGTGTCATAGCCTCCATATACAATTTTTAATAGGTTTAAGGTTTATCTTCATCCTCACCCAAAATTTCTCACTATGGTGATCTCTCTAATTTTCATGTTAATCGAGTAACCTATCAGCTGACTTTCTGAAACCTCATGCCCAGAGCGATAAGGAGAAACTTTATTTGTTGAATGTGAGAGAGGCTCTAACTTTCCAACTGGAACATACCAAATTATTTAGGACCTCTACTCAGTTGTTCGTTGTGATTGCGGACAGAACTAAGATGCTCGGAGGATTTCATTCTGGATCTCTTTATACATTCTTTTGTTACCTGCTGGCTAATATAGCCCCTCCCAGCTAGGGTATTGACACATTCTACTAGAGCACAGGCAATATCAGTGGCTTACTTGGTGCAAGTACCTATCACTGACATTTGTCAAACTGGAGATTGGTCATCTGTCCTTACCTTTGCTTCCTCCGCCCAGGGATAATGACAGTTTTGGATAGGTGGTCTTACAAGCACTGTTCAGGTTGACCTTAAGCCCACCTCTATGATTGTCTATCTGTGAGTTCCCTACAGTGGAATGGACCTATGCAAGCACTCGAAGAAAAAATGGCTATCTGCCTTTCTGTAACAGTTGTTCTTCGAGTGGGTTGCGCATGACCATTCCACGACCCGCCAGTCTTCCCCTATCAGAGTCTATCCAGCATGAAGAAACTGAGGGGAGTCAGGGGTGGCTCTGCCTCCTTATTACAGCACATAGTGGCGCATGACAACAGAGGTTTCTCAGACCACCCCGATGGGTATGGCTGAGGGAAAAAATTCTCCAACAACTCTGTACGAGGCATGAGCACACACCTACAGTGGAATAGAAGAACATTTAGAAGAACAAGAGTTACAGAAAAGTAGGTAACTTGAGTTTTTATGTATTTTAGGGTTGTATCTGTATTTGTATCTGTGAGATACTGAGATCTCTCACATCTAGTGGAAGTCAGGGCCTTAGATGGTTCAGATTTTGCTATAATCTGTTATAAGATGAATTTTTTTAATGCAGTGCTGCACTTATCATAGACTCGTAGAAATGTAGGCCTGGAAGGAACCTCCAGAAATCAAGTTCAGACACCTGCACTGAGGCAGAACCAAGTAAACTTGGTTGACTATCCCTGACAGGTGTTTTTCTAACTTGTTCTTAAAAACCTCTAGTGATAGGGATTTCACAACCTTCCTTGGAAGCCTATTGCAGAGTTTAATTACCTATGTAGTTAGAAGATCTTTTTCTAATATCTAACCTTAATCTACCTCGCTGCAGATTAAGCCCATTACTACTTGTCCTACTTTCAGTGAAAACGGAGAACAACTGATCCCCATCCTTTTTCTAACATCCTTAATATATTCAAAGACTGTTATCAGTCCCCCTCCCTCCCATGGTCTCTTTTTCTCAAGATCAAACATGCCCAGTTTTTTAACTTTTCCTCAAAGGACAGGTTTCCTAAACCTTTTATAATTTGACACTCTCCAATTTGTCCAGGTTTTCCTAAAGTGTGATGCCCAGAATTGGACATGGTACTCTGAACCCTTGCCAGTGCCAAGTAGAGCAGGACAGTGTCCCCCTATGTCTTACATACATGTGGCAGAGTGCTGGGAACCAACAGCTTGAGTCAGCACTCTGATCAGTTAAACACCAATTAACTCCCCCCAGGGTGGACCTGACTGTACCTAATCAATCCTTCCCAGCTCATTCTAATCTGCTAAAGAGTTAGTTAGCCCATTAATGCAAAGGGTAGAAGGCGGCACTGGAAGGAAATGCTGGAGGGAGAGGCAGGCTAGCAGAGCCAGAACCAAGAAGGTGCAGACAGCTTTTCCTTCTCCTCTTCTTGGGAGAAGGGTGAGGAGAAACTGATGTTATAAGTGCTGTGGTATATGGATCAGTAACGTGGTGAAAAGAGTAAGGAAATAAACTACACAGCAGTGTTTAACACATGAAAGTCTCTGAATAGTCTGCATAGACAGAGCAGAAGATAGGCGTGCCACTCCACCCTGTCACAATACAATATATATTCTTATGGTAACATTTGAAAATGTGGTTTTCTGAATTGCAGATTTTTAATATAAAGTACTGTTGAAAGGGGTTGTTAAGTCCATTGTGAGAGTGATATTTTAGCTTCTCGGTTGTCAAACCCAACTGCTGATCCCAAAGAGTGTTGTTGTATGCTCAACATAATTTCTACCGCCCCCCTCCCCCACCCAAGAGTGCTCTGGCACCTAATAACAACCAACTCCACTGTGACACTCTTGCTGCCTCTGCCAGGTGACATGAATATCTATCTCTCAGCTCAACTATAAATGCTAATGCCTCCCTCTACATCACCTTTATCTCATCTCTGAGATGTTCCTAATTGCCAGTTATCCAGCTGGAAATTTAGGTAACTTTCCTGATAATAGTAATGTTATGTTCCAAAATCCCTTTTCACCACATCCAAAGTTTTAGAATTCGTATGGTGGATGCATACTGCTAAACTGAAGTAGTTAAATTATTTTTCCCAGCTTTTCCATATATTTTCTTAGAATATTAAGTTTAAAAAAAACCCTATTTTTTTCCTAGGGATAGAGTGAGTGTAGATCTTTAAGGGTGTTCACTTTAGTTCATTCCATAAGCACTGTATTTGGTCACTCAGTTCTTTTTTTAAAATGTTCAGCAGATGTAAGACTTAAATTATTCAAAGATCCATTGGAAGATGCTGAAAGAGAGTGGATTATTTTACTATACTGTTTTTTTCCCCCAAAGGTAGGGCTTCCCTTTAAATGAGAATCCAGAGGCACAGAGGCATTCAGAAATGCCTACTTTACTGATGCAAAGTTCCTTGAACTTTTGGTGGACTGGGTTGCAAATACAATATAGTGCGTGAAATGTCTTAGTCATCTGTTCAAACCCAGTTCAGGTTGGTGGCAACCAAAAGCTGTTATCTGATCCCTGTTTGGTGGCTTGTGGAAATAAGGTGATCTCACTGGGTAAGTGTCTGCCTGTCACAAAACGCACTACCATAATTGGCACTAATTAGCTCCACTTTTGGCAGGGAGGACATGGGTTAAATTGACATGCCTCATCTCTGGAGGTCTGGTCCCTCCAGGTTGCATGTTTGTGAGGTAATATGGGAAGTTTGCACTGACACTGCCAGTGTAAATCTGATCTTTTATGAGGAATTATCAAGAGGGATGAAAAACAAAACATGCTTATCTTCAGTAATAGCATTTACTGATTCCAATGTTTTTTTTTCCAACAAAGATTAAAAGCAATAAATCTCTGGTCATAGCATAATTCTGGTAATTTACTGCTGATGTTTGGTTGAAGCCTTAATGGAAAATTTTCTTACTGATTAATTTCCTTTCTGTTAGCAGTGTCTTCCACAATTCCGGACATCTGGGCTGCTCTTGTCTCACTGCTCATGGAGGTGGATCAGAATTTTAGTGTCGCGTGGTCTGGCCACACCCTCTCTGCTCCTTCTTGCTGCCAGATGAGTTATTCCCAATCTGTTAAATTTGCATAACATCCATGAACAAATATTCCAGAGATAACAAAACAGCTACATACATTAGACCAAGAAAGGTGGTCATACGGTAACAATTCCACTTAATATCTGACTCAACTCATGAGTTATCCAGGGTGGGTAGAACTGTAGGAGACACTGCTAGCAGAAAGGAAATTATCAGTAAGAAATTTTACATTCTGGAGTTCAGTGTCTCCCACAATTCTGGGCATCTGGGAAGTAGCGAGCACTGAACAGGTATAGGGAGGGTTCTGAAACAAAAGTTTGGTAGGAAAGAAGTCCTCCGTCCCCTTTTTGTGAGCGTGCTCAAAAGTTTCTGTTATTTCTGGTGACTGCACACAGCACCTCCCTGCCAAAGGAAGCCTCTGCAGAAGACAGAAATTCCACCTAATAGTACTTAATGAAGGTGTTAGCTGTAGACCAACTGGCTCTTTTGTAAATTTCCAAAGTGAACACACTTGCTCATTCCAGCTAGGAGATTGGTAAGGATCTTGTGAAGTGTGCTTGATCCTCTGATGATTTTGTAGGCTTCCCCAATACATAATCTAATCCACTGAGCAACAGAGGACTTGAAATCTGAGTCCTTGGCATTTTGGGTGGGAAGGCATGAATAAGGAGACCAATCTTCTTGCAGATTCTTGTATGCTTGAATTAGATTTTCAACACTCCTCTGACCTCTAAGGTGTCTCACACCTTTTCAGTTGGATGTTGTACTTTTGGACAGAATGAAGGAAGCACAAGTTCTTTGGAAGTATGGAAGGAGAAATTTACCTTAATAAGAAAGGAATCTGGTGTTCTGAGTGCCACTTTTGCCTTGTGGAACACGCAGTAAGGCTCCTGTATAGATAAGGCTGCCAGCTCCGACACCCGGCTCGCAGATGTGACAGCTACTAAGAAAATGGATAAATTTTTATTAATTTTTTTACTTAATGGATAAATAAGAGGTCAACACTGAAGTCAGAGGCTCAGAGGAATGGCTTGTCAAAGCCCTCAAAAATAGTGAAAGACCCCATTTGGAAAAGAGTGGCATGTCAGTCTGGCTAACCAGACTGCTCAAAGCAATCTGCTACCTGTGGATTGTCTTCCAGGGAGCCTGAGAAGTATTTTGGTCTCTGCCTTGGTACAATTCACAAGTTGGCTGCTTGGACTAAAGGATCTGGAAGGCAGATGGGCGTGCCTTTGCAGACATTGTTGTGGGCTGACCACTATTGTAAAGAGTTGAACACCTGTGCTGGAACCTATACTTTATCTTCCTTGCGTTCCATAGTGTGATCCCACACTGCTAATATGAAAGCTTGAAGACTTCTGGTGTATGATTGTGCCCATGGAGATCCATATGCCTGACACCACAAGTCTTAGCAGTTGGCGGCATAGTGCTGTAATAGGTGTCCTGTGGCTCTGGAACAAGAAAATAAATTCCTGGGTGGACCCAGAGAACTTTTCTTGGCATTGAAGCTGGGTGCCTGGAGAAGATTTCATGTTCAAGATATGACCTTCTGTGCTGTGATGGAGCTTTGATCAGAATGTCATCCAGGAAGGGGTACAGGTGAGTTTCCTGTGACCTGAGTCTGGCCATTATCACAATCAACATCTTTGTAAAAACCTTGGGGGCTGAGGAGAGGCCAAACAGGAGTGTTAGGTATTTCCAGCATTTCCTGCTGTTTGCAAACTACAGAAGTCTGTGGGGGCAGAGTCTGGAAATATGTGTTGTCTGGGTCAACTGAAGTCAAGAAGTCCCTTCTGGGACAGGTATGATACTGTAGAGGCCAGGATCTCCATCCAAAACTTTTTCTTTATCCACTGTTGCTTTTGAGATTGAGAATGGCTCTGATACTCACCATTTGCTGCTGTATAATAAAGAAGATGGAGTAGAACCTGGAGAACCTTTTTTCTGAGGGAACCCACTCTATCGTTCCCATATTCAAAAGATGATATTTTGTTCTGGATCAGACTGTGCTTTACAGAGCCATTGGAGCTGGGTGATTGGATGAAGACTGGATGGTTGGAGCCTGCAGCTCAAGGGGGTCTCTCTCGCTCACTATATCCCTGACCCATTTGTCTATGGTCAGTGAAAACCATTCTTCTAAGAAATGGGAAATTCTATCCCTGAGCTTCCGCTCTGGGTGGAACCTATGCAATCTTTGTCATAAAGTGGATTTGGGAGGGTTGGGGGCTGAAGTCCTGCTGGAATTTCTCCTGGTACTTCGATTCTAGTTTTTCCCTTAGTGAATTTGTTGTCCCTTTGCTGGTAAATGATAAACCTGGTACCTCTGTGAGGATGAGAAGCAAAAGGAGTGCTTCTGTCCGAAGGCTGGTCTATTTTCTATTCTGAGGACCCTTAATGGGGAAAGGAGAGACTGTTTAGATTTTGCCATCTTGTCAGCCACTATCTTATCCAGTTTTTCTCCAAAAATGAGGGAGCCAGTAAACCTGGCTGAGCATAGGACCTGCTTAGAGTAAGTATCCATCTTCGAGGGTTGAAGCCATAGGCGGTGCCTGGTTACTGAACTGGAAGCCATGGCTTGGGCTGAAAACCTCATTGTATCCATTGAGGTGTCAGCTACAAAGGCTGTTTCTGGGAAGACTCTTGAAAGTGGAGCCAAAGTCAGGGTCATCTCAAAGCCCTAAGGGCAAATGTTCTAGCCAGGAAAGAGATGCTCCTGCAAAGCAGGAAGCTGCCAGGAATACTCGGAAGGTGGAGGAGGAATCTGGAAGGAAGAAGTAGAAGAGGCATGGTCAGACCATGTGGCACCAAAATGCTGATCTGCCTCTGTGAGCTGTAGAGAGAGGAGAACTGTCTAGACATCTAGAATTGTGGGAGATGCTTGGCACAGTAGCATGTTTCCCTAAAAACTGGTGACTGCATTTGTGCATGTGTGCTATGTTGTATTGAGGATGAACATTCTATAAAAGGATACATATACTGACCTTCTCTCTCCCCTCAGTGTTAACCCTGCTCAGGTAAATCTAGTATTAAGAATTTCACTGTAATAGTGGTTAACGTAATTCTGTTTTAACAGGGAAAGAAGACACTCCATCATTGCTTGGTCTTTGTGGCTCTCTGACTTCTGTAGCAAGTTATAAATCTCTTACAAGTCTGAAATCAAGTGAATACCTTGCAAGTCCTACAGCAGAGATGACAAGTCCAGGTCTAACTCCATCTTGAGCAGATATACATAACAAGGAAGAGCTTTTGTGTTGTATGCATTCAAACATAATTTGACTTGCTGTGAAGACTCTTAAAGGTTCAAGCAAGCTAAAGAATATGCTGCTTTATTTTGTCCTTTTTTTTTGTAATGATCTATTTAAAGAAAAGTCACAAAACTTACATCCATTGTCTGTCATGCTTTTCTTTAAAAGGATTTTTCCCGGACTTACCCTTTGAGATCTTAAATTGTTTAAGAATCCCAGTCAGATACAGAATGTATGTATGATTTAGTAACAAATGATTACCTTTTAGAATGAAATATGTGAACATCAGTCTTCTGCTAAACTGTTGTGATATATGTTCCTCAGGCTCTTAACTAGAGCACTTCCTTGCACTGCTCTGCATATTTGTCAACACTTGCAGAAGAGACAGGGAATAATAAGTCTTGGCAGACTAGTAAAGGAATATCTGAATTCCAGTTTACATTATATTACAAAACACTGCTTGTTTAAATATTTTTTAACCTGCACATGTTCTATTATGTAGAATCTTAAATAACTTATTTAACCTGTTAGAGGTTTTGAAATACTGACAGGTAAGTGTTAAATGTGCATTCCCATTATCATTATGCCACTTAGAGAGTTGATTTTTATGTTCAGATAAGGCCATATTAAGAAACAGTATACATTCCTAGGTTTTGATGATGGGACAGAGTAACAAATCTTATAAATCGGGATTACTTCCAACTTTTAAGAAGGGATGAGAAGGCGAGTCACCAGGTGATTGTGGGACCCAAATGAGGAAGAACTTTGCAGGTAGAAGGTGCATCTTAGTTAGTTACTTTTTGTTACTGACTTATGTTAATGTAAAGGTGGGGGAAACATGGTTATGTTATCACCTTAGAGCTTTGGGAAACCCCACTCCCTATGTCCATTGTAAAGGATCTCAGGAGTAAAAAAGGATTAGAATGAAATGTTGACAATTTAAATGACGAATATTCTCCCATGAAAGAGTTTTGGATAGGTATTTTTCTTGATTATTCTGTGCAGTAATACTTAAACAGAAGTTAATCCTTTAAAATTCTAAGCCTCTAATTAAGCTACTGATATGAATTACCTGAAAACATTTTTAAATTAAGCTAAACTTTACATCTTCCCAGTTTAACTCACCTTTAAAGTTTGCAAATTAATTTTTGAATTGCAAACTGTAGTCTTACATCTTTGTAAGATGTAATGAGTCCTTTGTCTATGAATTTTGCTACTAAGGTAATGCTTATCAGTATCTTTTAAAAAAATATTAAATGCATGTAAGTGTGTTGTATTTATTAATCAAGAGGAAAAGGCTTTGTTGTGCCAAAGAAGTTTCAAATATTGTTTACATGAGTGGCTTCAATATTAATAGGGTTATCTAATTAGAGCATACTTTCAGATAGATTTTTGTTTACAGTCAGATACTATATGCTATACTCTTTGCTTTATTTATATTTGCCAGAGAAATGTGCCTCTTGTAATTTTACCCTGGGCACTACTAGTTTTTCAAAGGGTGGGATAAAGAAAAATAGGCAATCTAATCATTCTTGTAAACAGAAGAATGCAGGAATGTTGCCATGATAAACATGTGAAATGACACATTGTCAGAACTGACTAATCCATTTTAATGATCTCTGAAATAAAATGAAAACAGTAGTGCTCCTTTCCTAAGGTCTACCAGAATGCCTATTACTGCATAAAGTAATTTCCTGGTTCTTGCACTACAAACCTGCTCTAATGGCAGTTTAGTAGCTTAATTGAACAGTATTCATTAAATATTAATTTCAAAACTAGAGATGCATTTTTAATACAAAGACAATGAGGGAAGCAGGAGTCCATAAAGGTAACATTACTGATTTGTGTACAGTAACTTGAGCAACCTGTGCTGTTTTAAACATTTCTCCCAATACATCACAGTTCTTTGGCTATAATCATGATTTTTATTCATGTCCGCAGATAGCTCTGTTGGAGGAGCTGCTATAAAATTCATCTGTCATGTAATTTAAGTTTTATGTAATCTTTCACACTAGTATTAGTTTGTAAATGTCAATGTTTGTGCATGAGGAAGCTGGTTGTATATGTGTCCGTTCTAAATGCTGTCCATTTTCCAGAAATAGTTGAACAAAATAAATGCCAAAATTTATGTATTTTGTTGCCTTGCTATATTATAACTGTTGCATGTAAATTAAACATTTTGTACCATTGCCACTACTAGCTCTTGTCTCTGTACTCTTCTAATCAAGTGTAAAGTAAGATCACTTACACACTAGTATCATGTGAGCATAAAACAATTTAATTGTGTTCTAATAGTCCAGAGGTGACCAGCCTGAGCCTGAGAAGGAGCCAGAATTTATCAATGTACGTTGCCAAAGAGCCACAGTAATACGTCATCAGCCCCCCCCCCCCCATCAGCTCCCCAGTCCCAGTGCCTCCTGCCCTGCACCTCCTGATCAGCTGTTTCGTGGCATGCAGGAGGCTTGGGAGTGAGGGCATGGAAGGCTCAAGGGAGGGCACAGGAGGGTGGAGTGAGGGCAGGGCTGTGGCAGAGCCAGGGGTTGAGCAACAGGGGGCACCCCCGGCACATTGGAAAGTTGGCACCTGTAGCTCCAGCCCCAGAGTCGGTGCCTTTATAAGGAGCCGCATATTAACTTCTGAGGAGCTGCATGTGGCTCCAGAGCCATAGGTTGGCCACCCCTGTAATAGTCCTAAAGAAGTGAAAATTAACACTAGACTTTCAGAAGATCTTAAATTAAGTAATATCAAAGAATATGCATTTCCTTTTAGCATGAGTGATATGGAGACTATAAATTAATCCCAAACATTTAAATTGTGCTTTGACTTGGAATCTGTGCCAGCAAAAACAAAACAAAACCCAAAAAACAGTATAATCACCTTTTTAAAAAAATAGCTATTCTAAACTATAGAATAGCTATCTTTAACACTCGCCTCAAGGTGCTGGCTCTATTCCCAATTTTTATCTACTAAATATTCCCTGTTTTCATCCGTTAAATTGCAATGCAGTTAACAGTACACCAGGATTTTCTATTTACATAATTGCTGTAGTTGGCACAAGGACCTTAAACAGTCATAAATGGGAGAGGAGGAAATCCATGAAATCATTTAATATGTGATCCGCGTTATGAAAGTTTGAACTCCTGGTTTAGATTCAAAACATAAGGTTAAGCTCAAGTTCCTTCCTTTACCAATTGAACATATGATTTTCTGACAAAGTCTCCTTAATAAAGTACTTCATACAGGCAAAATTAATCATTTGAAGTAAAGAAAGGAACACCTAAGCTTACATTTGAAATGAGAAAATGATGGTTCAGTGGGCTTCAAAGAAGGGATAGGTATTGCCATAAGGTATCATTGAGGCCAAGAGTTTGACAGGATTTAAAAACGTATTCGGTAACAATAGGCTTGTCTACACTACCCTGCAGTTTGGATTAGAGAGATGTGAACAGCACTGGAGGGGTCAAAGTGCTATGCTCTAACTTCCTTGTGCAGATGCACATTAAAATATTCTTGCTTTGCATTAACATAATCCTCTTCAGACAGGCTTACATTAATGCAAAATAGGAACCATTTCATTTGCACCTGCTGCATCCACACGGGGAAGTTGCAGCGCAGCATATTGACAGGCATTACTGTTAATATCTCTGTAGTCCAAACAGCAGGGCAGTGTAGACATAGCCTGAAGTTTACATCCACAGTCCAATTAGTTAGGATAAAAAAAGGGTGTTAAACATTTGCTTTAGGACATAAATTAACCACTAACTAAGACAAACTTTTCTTAGGGGCAGCTTATTTTGCAAATATCCACTATGGCATTTCTTGCACCTTCCTCTGAAGTACATGTTGTGCCACAATACGCCATAGCCTGGGATCGATATTAAGACGGGGTGGGCAAACTTTTTGGCCTGAGAACTGCATTGGGTTTCAGAAATTGTATGGAGGGCAGGTTAGGGGAGGCTATGCCTCTGCTCCCCCTTGCTTCTCGCCCCCTGACAGGGCCCCCCCCGGGACTCCTGCCCCATCCAACCCCCCCAGTTCCCTGACCATCCTCAGAACCCCTGCCCCTGACTGGCCCCCACTGCCCCATCCAACCCTGCTCCTTTCTGACTGCCCCCCTGGGACCCGTGCACCCAATTCAACCCCCCCTGTTCCCTGCCCTCTGAAGGCCCTGACCCCTATCCACACCCCTGACCACCACCCTGAACTCCCCTGGCCTCTATCCAACCCCACCCCCCCACTCCCTGCCCCCTTACCATGCAGCAGAGAGCACCGGGTCAGGCCATGGCTCTGCAACTGTGCTGCCCAGCCACCCAGAGCATTGTGCCTGCAGCACGGGAGGGGGACAGCAGGGGAGGGGCTGTGGCTAGCCTCCTGGGCCAGGAAGGGTCCCATGGGCCAGATGTGGCCCACAGGCCATAGTTTGCCCACCTCTGGTTGAAAGCTCTTAAAAGCTAAGATACTCCAGAGGAAGTCATAAAACTTTCATGCAGTATTTATGCACTACATTATAAATAAGATTGAGCACAGCTGGTGAAGCCATCTACATTCTGACACATGAGGGCTGAAAACCATTGCACTCTAACTGCAAATTCTACTCCTTCCCCGTCTAAATCTTTTTTTAGGTTTCTAAGAAATTCACTTTGATCAAGTGGCATTACATAACTGAATTATACACATCACAAAAAGCACTCTTCTTTCTGTGTTAAATGTGTCTTCTAGTTTAATCTTTTGTGCTTTCATTGTTCAGAGCAGGGATTCTCTTTTCTGTATTTGTAGAACACAAGCATGTCACTGGTTGCCACTATAATAAATATTTAACAAGTGGATTCCTAACCTTTTTGCTAAAAATCCTTTGGCATTGTAATAGTTGGACAGAGGGCCCTCAGCTCCCCTCTTCTGTGCACTGGCACAATTGTCATACTTATCTTTGTCCATTTTGTATTCTATTTTTGTTTTAAGCTCCTATTCACCTGAGGGCAACATCCTGCCTGAGATGCCTGAGAGCATCCAGAGTTAATTCTGTGGGGCGGGGTTGCCTGTTCTTTCACCCAAGAAGAGAGTAATGGCCAGGGCTGGCCCACAACATTTTGGCACCTGAGGCGGGGAGCTCAAATGATCCCCCCGTGCCCCCTTCGGCCAAAACTTTGAAAGGTCTCAATTCTGCTTTCTTCCTGTTCTCCTCCTCTCATGGTACTGCTCTGCTACCTACCCCAATAAAGGAGAACTAACAAAATGCCTTGTTCAAAAATTTTAAGTAACACATTTGCTGTTCAGGCATTTGAAAGTTAACTTTTCTTGTCTGCATAGTAAACACTGGCATTTTTATCTGTTTGAATAATCAAAGTGGTGCTTTCCGTGCCTTCTTGGTTGCAAAGATTTAAACTGCTTCCTTAAGGTCCACAATCTGGGCCAGCTCACGCTCTGAGAGGTTGCAAGGCGACTAGCCTCTCCTGTGTCATTGTACAGCGAACATGTGTTTTTATTAACTTCAGCTTGGAGAAGCTGTGTTCTCTACTGACAACTGTTTCAGGAAGTGTTAGCAGTATGCACAGAGTAACAAAAGCATTTGGAAAGAGGGTGGTCATCTTATTTGTGCACATATATTCCAGAACAGCCTTTGGAGTTGATCCTGCTGAAATGTATCTTGAAAGGGCTTTCAGTTCATCGCCTAAATCACTCGCATCAATATCACGCATGTCATCGTGTCAACACTGTCTCTAGTGCCCTACATTGCTATAGCAAGGAGTTTTGGAATATCATAAAACACCCCAAACATACTGCTGTGTTCCTTGAGCTGCATGAAACATTTTTCAACTGACTGTATTGCACAATCTAGCACCTGGTTAAAGAATTCAACTTTGAATTGTTGTTTGGGGTCTCTTATGGGATTATCCCGTGCCTCCTAATCAAAATGCCGTCATCTTTGGTGACTCTTGTATTCTTGAATGGGTGGGAAAATAGCTTCAGTGTAAAGTTCCTCTGCTAACTTCTGTGCACTCTCTTCAGAATGTTTTGAAATCCCTCATCTGACTGGTAAGACTGTAGGTATGACGTCTAGTTGTTCCATTGCTCCAGATATATCAAGTTCAACACCTTGGAGTCTCTTGCTTACAACGTTTATTTCAAACAGTGTGTCATGCCACAACACTAAGCCACACAGAAATTTGAAGTTATGTATGTTTCTGGTGATTCCATTTCTCTCTGCCACTGTTCTCCCACAAACAGTTCCTGTCATAGCATTATCCTCCATAATGGCAACTGTGGCATCATCTATCTTCCCAATTTGGTGTTTGATAGGCTTTATCGCCTCCACTCAACTTTCCCATCATGTGGCACTGAGTGGTTTGTGTCAGAGAGGATGTTCCCAGATGTTGCTTCAAAATTTGCCATCGGTGAGTTGATGCAGAGAAAAAAAAATACATAGATGCTTTGAATTACATTAAAAAATTCAGCAGTCTCACCAGAAACTGATGCTGCATCACTGACCATCAAGTTCAATGAATGAGAACTGCATGGGACAAAAAAAGCTCGAGGGTTTAACTCTCAGATCCGTGTCTGCACCTTTGTTCTTTCCTCATGTTGGCACCATTATCATAGCCCTGACCTCTCATGTCAGCTATCACAATTCCCGTATCTTCCAGCTTTTTAAGAAGCACATTTGTCATACCAGCTCCTATAGTATCATCAACGTCAATAAATTCTAGAAAATGCTCTCTGACAGTCACCATTGTAGGGACATTTTCACTAGGTTACGTTGTTGTTACAAAGCGCACCATTAAAGTCATTTGTATAGCTGATGTCAGGTATGCAGTCCAGAATAACAGAGTAATATCTTGCTGATTTCAGCTCTGCCACAATCTTCTGTTTGACTTTTGTTGCCAGTAACGTATGATCTCATTTTGAATTGTTTTTCCAAGATAGTGGTGTGTGTACATTTCTGGGGTGGTGACTCTTCTTAGATGCTCCTGGAGTACAGCATCAACTCAGCCATCAGCTCCACAATTTTAAGGAAGTTTCCATTGTTTGGCACATACAGCTGCTCTGAAGTGCCACGCAGTGCTAGGTTTTGGGTAGCAAGCATTCTCACAATGGCTATGAGCCTTTTCAGAACATTTTGCCAGTAAAGAGAGACTGATGCAATCTTCTCTTGATGCTGATTATCTATGGTGGCCTTTAATCTTAGCCTCATCTCAAGC